TACTACACAAATTCCAATTCAATGTGATATTCTCTTCTCAAACAAATCTAATTGTTGTGTTGTCATCTCTTCAACCGCCAGGCCTCCTGAAGAATCTCACAATCATCAACCTTTATAGATCCACCTAATTAACCACTTCCAACTCACCTTTTTCCTTCACTTTCCCTACACACACTCTCTTTAAAACCTCCATCCATCAAACCTCTGTGTTTGTGTGTGTGTGTGAATATATATATATATATATATATATATATATATATATGTATGTAAAAATAATTAGATAGAAGATTCTCTATTTCAGAAAAAAAAAAAGAGAAAGGAAATAAATTGCATTTAATTTCATTATTTCATCGTTGACTCCTCAACACTATCATGCGCATGTAAAAAAAAATCATTTAAAAACTCATAAAATCCTGCTTGAGTCATGCTTTGTGCGACTGGCGAACCCCTGCATGCTTTTAATAGCATGGCAAGGTAAACTTCCCAACAACACTTTGATGCAACAGGTATGCCTGAGGCACACTTTTCTTAGCCCTTTGGGGAAAATTTTTATTTTCAAATTTTTCTTATCCATATATCTCATGCGCACATTTCTTGCATGGTGGATTTCGAAAACCACGATCAAGGTGCCTTAGGACATCGACAATAGACATCTATGTTGTTGAGGCAGACAAGCCCAAACTCCTCATAAATGCCCCCTACACGAGAGAGATGCTGGGAGGCTATCGAAGTTTCTAATGAACTGAGCTTGCAAAGAACTTAAATATGTCAAAGTAAAAAGAGGCTCATGAACATAAACACAATAAATTGAAAATTGATAAGTTAAAAATACAAAAAATGAATATTCAGAATACTATAAATGTGTTTTATATAGACTAAAAGAAAAAAGAAAATGAACACGAGATTGGACTTACAAGAGAGTTGATAACTCTTCTACTAACAAAATAAGACGTGAAAACTTGTCATATTAGCACAAGCATGACTTCTCACTGCCATTAACAATTCATAATAATTGAAACAATAAACAACTATGTATGAAACTGACCAAATAAAAGTCTCTTATTAACAGCAAAGAAATACTCCTTATGGGGTTAGCTTCAACAAACTGTGAACTAAATGCTAGCGAATTACAACGCTTTAAGTGCACAACCAAATTCTGAATCACCATTGAATCCTCAATAAATACATGCAAGCAAACATTAGGAGAATATTAAGTTTAAAATGAAAATGGTGTGCACATTCCAACGACGACGTATTCATGCAAACAATCAAATCTGAATTATTTCAAATCCTTTATGAACATCACGAGCTTGTCTGCATGTGCTACTACAAGCATACTAAATGCTCGAACATAAAATCAAATAATGCTATGCAGACTGAAAATAAGACAAACTCGAATTCCCCCAATTCGTGAAGCACGGGAACATTTTGAAAGGCTTGCATTTATTTTGAAAATTCAAACTCAATTTCAATATTCAAACTTAAACTCCACATATATGCACACACTTGAGGGAGCCACCTTACCTATAGGTTAGGGTCATAGGTCCGACTCTCAAATTCAATCCTCCACATCACTAGTAAGAGAGCTGACGAAGTTCCAAAAACAATAGAGATTAAAGAAGGATTTTAATTCCTACTCCCAATGCATTCAAGTAAATTTTGCAATCAAATATTCAATGAAAAATCTTAAATCAAGATTTTTGTCTTTTGCTTGCAAAAAGCCTTCAAAGCCTTTCAAGGAACATTCTTTTCGTCATAGATTTGCATTATTTGAGTTCATTCAAAATATGAAGTTTGTGTCAAACATACAAGGAACAATAATGAGTTTTATTTCACAGACCCAATCTTTTACATATAGAAGTAGAGTTGAAAAGGTCCATGACGAAAAGAATGTTTCAAATGAACTCAAGTAATGCAAATCTATGAACCCGATCCTTTGAGTAGACAAGATTTAAGGTGATAAAATGCAATCATTGAAATATCCCTTAATTACAAATACAAATGCTTCAAACAAGATAACCCAATGATGTTTGTGTTGATTGAGAATCTCAATCAAAGGGGATCATATTTTTAAAATGCACCCAAATCCTACTGTAAATTATTTCAGGCCTAAATTCCTAATAAAAATACAAAACTTAAAAAAAAAAAAAGCAATTTCAATAAAAATATTCAAGTGAAATCTAACACCCACAAACTAAAAGCAAAAATCCATCTACCATCCGCAATAATTGAAAAGAATGATAAATTTAAGATAACCTTAAATCACAAAAGCAAATATGATATAGACAGTCACACTATAATCACTGTTCAAAAAAAAAATTCATGCCAATAAAGATGTGACATGTCTCCCCTAATTGAATGGTTTTGCCATTATATGGCACAACTAAAAAATCATAAGTTCAAATCAAGTGATTTCACCACAAAGTTTCACAATTAAATTATGATCAAGAACAAAGCCCAAATGTTCCTAATGACTTAACCTCTTGAATTAAGATTCTTATGGGACACTTGATAGGGCACAAAGCCTTTTGTTACTAGATAAAGATCAGCGACAACTCGGAATAACTATAGGATTTTGATCGGGTTCATCATTGCTCTCACTATCTACTTTAAAAAAAACACAACTTTTTAAGTCATAAAATCAAATTGATGCTACTATATGTTATGCATTTAGCGTCTAACGATTAACATTAACCGAAAAGTCTCTTTCACCAATCACCACTTATAAGGGTAATCATGGGCGGATCCACCCATGGCTTAGGGTGGGCAAATGCCCACCCTCAAAAAAAAAATTTTAAATATTTAGAGGGGAGATTTTGAAATATTTTGGGTATTTTGCCCCCCCCTAAAAATTTTTTTTTGCCATACTTTTATCAATCCTAAGCATATTTGCCCATCCCTCGCAAAAAAAAAAATTTTTGCCCACCCTAAATAAAGAAGCTGGATCCGCCCCTGAGGGTAATTAACCAATGGATTATGCACCTGAAAAATCTAAAATCAAATATTTAAGTTTTTTGCAAAATGAGAATAAAGTATCTAAATAATGTCTTATCTACTATCCATTCTATCCCTTAAAAATTTGACCTGAAACCAAGCAATCTCAAAAGAGCTAGGCGCAAACTTTCAAATCCCACATTAATATTTAAAACCACCAACAACTAAATGACCATCTTCCACAAAAAAGGAGATCACACATTTTTTAACATTCAACTCTATCTTGATAAGATATAATATTTGTTGATCTTGAGATAAATTACATATCTGTGACAGATCTTTAAAATTGAATTAACAACTACTTAGTTGATCTATATTTAAATTAATATTAACCCTACTCGGTGAGAATTACCGATGAGGACATCAGCCAGAGATTTCGACAAGTGTACCATCGACGGAATCGTAGATTGATGGTTACGATTCAGAGCCTTTACTTTTTATGTATTTAGATTTTGTTTATTTTGCATTTCATATTTCTTATTTTATCCCAATGGGTAGTGAGTTTTATTGTAGCCCCGAGGGCATTTAAGTCTTTCTTTCTTCTTTCCTTTATTATTGAGGCCTATATATAGAGGTCTTTTGCTTTGTATGAGGTTAATCATGAATTAATAAAAATTTTAGCTTTTTGAGTTCTTGTTGGTGAGCTCTTGAGAGGAGAGGTGAAGCCTAAGAGAGGTTCAAATGAAGTACCCTACAGCCCCTTTGGGTGAGCTTTTGGTTTTCTCTATTTTCTTCCTATACCCGCTGCCACCCACAACCTTCCTCCTTGCTGCCGGCAAAAGCCCTCCCTAGCCTTTCCCTTCCCCTCCACAACCCATCGGCCCATCCCTGTCATCCCCAAGCCGCCGGCTATACCAGCCCCTCCCCTCCCTTCCCTAACCGACGCCACCCTTACCCTTCCCCCATTGTCGACAGTCCAAATCCCCATCTCCACCGCCATTATGATGAGCCCAATCATCATAATTACTTCCCTAAATTAGCTCATGCAAGAAAGGAAAGAATTTAAAACTTATTTGAAATTCAAATTTGAATTTCAAATACTTTCCTCAATTACAAATTCTAATTTAGGAAAGTTCCTAAATCTATATCTAATTTAAGAGGTGGTGGCTGGCGGTTTAGGTGGAGAAGAGGCAGTTGCCAGCGGTTTTGAAGGGGTGGGGGGGTGGTCGACGGTTTGGAGAGGAAGGAGATGGTAGCCGGCGGTTTGGAAGGGGGAGGGAGGAGTGGACCGTGAGCCCGGACGCTTCCTGTGGCTGACGGGAAGTACTTTGCCCTCACCTAAGGACTTCACTCTGATAAGAACTCTCACGCTCTCCCAAAACACAAGTGCAGAAATTTCTTTTCATAATTTTCATGATTACCCTCTCCAAAGAGGATGAGCTATAAATAATCAAATACAATAGTAAAAATAAAAAGACAAAAGTGCCCCATGGGGTCACATGAACCTACTCCCTCAAGTGAGGGTACAAATTGAAATGTTACACTAATAAATCAAATACAAATAACATCTCAAAATAGAGTGGTGTAATCATGGTTGTAGATCTCCGGCCTCTCTTCTAGTAAATTCTCTATTGTCGGATGTCCTCATCATATGTTCTTCGAGAATACCAGCGTAGGCAAAATAAATTGTACACTATCTATGAACCAGGTCAATGCATTTTTACAACAAAAAGATTCACAATTTTAACGTGAATGAGGTTAAACGCCTTGAAAAGATCTACTTTCCATATAGACTACACATCAAACCCTTCCCAGAAGATCCAAAAGCTTAGATGAAAATTGGCATTTCCATCAAAAACACCTAATAGTCTAATGGTAGCAACAGATATCAGGACACGTTTCATTACAGCTCAGTTCTAGTAATTTAATAAAAATTTGGAACCTTGAAAGTATAGCAAACCCATTAGAAGGATCTTAAACTTGTTGCATACCAAGTTAACGATAAAAATTGGCTTTGAAAACATAACAAAAACTACCCCAACAGAGAAATAAATTTGAAACATTACCTGAACAAGGGTAACTATGGCCATTATTGTAACACGAAGCATTGGCAAGTCGGATGATTTTCTGGCCTCGCGTTCAGCAAACCGCGCAATGATGAAAACCAAATTTTGAACAAGTTTAGATGCCAATGTGGCTCTAGTTGCCATTAAGCCTACAACCATTAGTGCACCTGCCTGTAGAGATGATAGGAAATATGTCACACAAGTTGCACATACAAAATTAATCCAAAAATCAGAACCGCAAAAAAGAACAATAAATGCCTTCAAAAAAAACAAAGCCTTTCAGAAGCTTTAATTTCAGTAGCATCCACTTCTACAACAAATGTTCAAGGAATGGAAACAAATGAACCACAGCATCAACGTAATTGCAGATAGAAAAACCAAGATAAGAAAAAAAACTGAAGAAGAAAGTTGCAAAACAAAATAAAAAAGAAGAGAGTTAGAGTTGCCTTCAGAAGAATTAGCTAAAGCCTAAAGCAAACATGTGATGGGATGGATAGCACTGGTCAAAGTATCTACATTAATTATTCAATCTGGATTTCACTTTTGAAAAAACATTAGTAACGGTAGTGATTGCATTATTCAAACTGATCTACACAACGGAATCAACTTGACCCAACCCTCTCGCTTATTTACAAAAAAAAAAAAAAACATCAATAAGATTAGTATTTTCAAGCAAGATTACGATGGTAGTGATTGCATTATTCAATACATACACATCCTTCTTCTATTATCAGAGATAAAAAAAACTGAAGGTAACTAGCATGTCTGAATTCTGCTTTAAACAAAACTAACTATATCAACAATTGTAACAAAACCATAACATGCGCTTCCCAAAAAACATCACATTTTTTAATGAGAATGCACTTTCTTTATTGTTTGTTGGGGGGAGAAACTTAGATGTCCACAATGGTCAAAAAAGCAGAATGCCTGCAATAAGATGATCAGCCTCAAAGTTGTTTGGGTTTATTTTATTATTTTTACTTTAAATAGAATTTTGAATGTACAACAAAGATGTCACTTAACAAAAAATATATATAAATGGTATTTGAATCACCATCACTGAAGATGGCTTATTCTTGTTGTGAGTTAATCATGTGGAATTTTCAATTAGCAAGATCCAGTACTATCACAGGAGTTCTGCTTTCTTTTGGGAAATCTTATATCCTTATGCTCTCTATTCTAGGGATTTTTTGTCAGCAAATCCTTCATGAAACTTTTAATCCATTCTTCAACTTCTATTTTTCGTCCTTCATGAAGCTCTGAAAGAATCTTCAGTGACTCATATTTGTACATCTTTATGGGCATTAAAGCTTATGAAAGAGGATTTATTGCCTCTGTTATCATAAATTAAGATAGGAAACATGTACCAAAACTCAATTAAAGATTGAATAAATTTTATATTTAGATATGTTATTGCACCTATTTCTGAAATTCAATTCCTTGATCAAGAGACTAAACATTTTGGATAAATTATAACCTTGTACACGTGAGGAGCTTAGTTTATGGTATATAGTTTACTTCTTATTTTCATCTTCTATGTTTTTCTGTTAGTTTGAAATATGATTGAATTTGGTCCAATTTGATGCAAATATGGTTTCCATCAAGTGCATGAAAAAAGTTGGTGACTTTATTGATCCTGATTTCATTATTCTTATTTCTAGTAGAACATTGAATTTTTCATTTGAATTAGTTTCTCTCAGTTGTTTTATTTTCATCAAAGGTAACCAAAACTTATTTAAGAGTTTATGTCCAAAAAAAAATTTAGGCTTCTTTTCAATATCTAATATTATTTCACACTAGAAACCCTAAACCTAAAGCGCCCTACATCAGCAAGACAACGGAGGTAAATGTTATAAAAGTATTATTTTAAATATTTTTGCTCGTCGTCAGCATCATCATTAATCATATCCCAACTATTTAGGGTGAAAGTTAGGAATTCTTATTTTTTCTCCGTTTATATTGAGTATTGAATGAAGGTTTAAACCTTTTTTTGTAAAACTTTTTTTGCATCTTCTATCCATGTAAACTTTAGTCCATTTCTTTGCATTCTCAATGCTCAGATACTAATTCTATCAAGTTACTTAACATGTACTTTTTCTACCCTTCAAGTTCAAACCAGCTTACTCTATTTCCAATCACCTTATCTTCAATAAATGTCTGATGCAAGCAAAAATTTGGGAGAGGGCCCCAAATTTTTGCTAACAAAAGAAGACTCTTCCTATAACTTAGAAGATGCACAAAATACTACAAAAAAATATAAAATACTAAAAAGACACCTTTTTATATCATATAAAGACACTTACAACTTTTGAACACAAACACCTTACGAACTTGGACGCAAACAAATAGAAAGGAGCTTGCCAATCGTTGAGAAGAAGGATACAGGTGAGGTGGCACTTGCGTAGAGAAGCAAGGGATTAGAAGCCAAGACGAGGAATAGGAGTAACTCGCAAGTTATCTCAAGATAGAGAAGAAGAAGAAGCGTACAAAGCCCTCAAGCTTTTCCAATAAAACCCTCAGGTTTTCTTACTCCAAAAATCACATTTTCAACCAACCTTTTATGCCTCAAAACATCTCTAATATATAGGCACAAAAGGGAAACCAAAAAACCACTTAAAAGTTCATTTAAAACTAATTAATTAAGGGGAAAAGAAAGGGCAAAAGGCTGTCCAAATTCGGTCCAAAAACAGCTCCCAAAATGCTAACATTAAATACAAAACAGCAGCAGGAAATCTGCACAGAAAACTAGGAAGAACTCAAAGAATTCCCCCCCCCCAACAGCCACCAAACAGCAGCCCCATACGACACAGCAAAACAGAGCAGAAAAGCCACGGGAACCAAGCAGCCAGCAGCGAAACCAAGCAGCCAGACGCAGGAACCAAGCAGCCATCCACAGGAAACAAACAGCCAGCCACGGGAACCAAATAGCCATCCACGGGAACCAAAGGGCCAAGGCAAGGGAACCAAGCAGCCATCCACAGGAGCCAAGCAACCAGCCACGGGAACCAAAGGGCCAAAGATCCATCATAATGAGCTTCCACTAAACTTACATAAATGAGCTAAACTTTTTACTTCAATAAATGAACTAAAAAACAGCTCATAATGAGCTAAATTTCAGCTCAAAGTATTAATGAGCTAGCAAGCCCAAGAGTAGTCAAAACCAAAATTTAGGATTTGATTTGACCCCCCCCCCCTTGCCTACACATGAATGTCACTCCAACCTTCGTCCCAATAATAATTTTCACTTTAATTTATGCATCCTAAAATTTAATCATACGATCTTCTTAACCACTATTATTTATGTTAATCAACTATAGACTATCATGACTCTTTCAGTGACCCCCAATATAAGATCCATACACAATATTCTAATTGAGGCATATATAATTTTATCCTTAAAGCTCCTCATCTCCCTACATAAAAAGCTCCATGAAGCACTTAACTCTACATTTATTCAATACACTAATATCTTAAGTTACATTTTCAACTACTATAATCTTATTCCTTTAAGTAATGGTTCAGAGATGTTACCTATACACTGAACAGGTGTATCTTAGATGCTACTAAATAATAAAATAAAAATGACAGTTGCTAATAATTCATGCCAATTTAAAAATTATATATCATATATTTAAATCTTAGTCAAAAAATTCTAGTAACCAACACTACATTTTGGTCCTGATTTTTTTTCATTTATTTCAATAGATGCTCGTTGCCATAATATTATATATAACTTACAAAAAGCTATACACCACAAATCCTTCTTTAAATATCATTCCCTTTACGACCACCTACCGGAAAATACACGACATAAATATATATACATATATATATATATCTATATATATATATAATATAATATAAAATATATAATATATATATATATATATAAACTCAATGTTGATCCTTTATGTAAAACTACATAATTCTTAGATCACACCACAAATATTTATAATACTAGTAAGTGCTCTATCATGCTATCTTTGACACACATTTCCACCTTAATATACACGAAATTAATTTTCATGGTACCTGATCATATGCTTTTTTAAAGTCAATAAAAATCATATGAATATCATTTTTCTCTTCATATGCTTCTCCATTACTTTTCATAATGTAAAAATTACTTACATAGTAGATCTTCCTAACATTAAATCAATTGGTTCTCCAAAATTGATATGATTTTTCTTAATCCATTTCACTGTTTTTCCTTTACAAGTTATTATTTCACATAACTATCATTCCAAAGCATTTACTTCTTGCTAAAAGATGTTGCTTCAGTGCATAATGCTTCGTTCGACATAGCTTTCCTTCTTCATTAGATTTCTTCATTTGAAAACAATAAAGAGTGAAGAAAGGCTACACAGAAGTAACACCAAACTTAAAGAGAGAGATTATTATTATTATAGCCTCACAATGATAGCCTCCATTTATAATCCATAGTGCTGCATTTTTTAACAACTGCTATGCCAAAAGCAAAAATAAACTAAAATTTTGAATATATTATATTTGAAGTTGAAAATATGCATAGGCTCAAATAAAAATGTAAAGCATATTTGTGTTCATGGGAGAGAGAGCAATTAAAAATAATTCTAACCAAAAATGGTTCATAGGCACAATCTAAACAGTATAACTCACCACGTGATCAGGACTTCCACCAACAACAGGATTAAACCCATTGAATACAAAGGTTAAAATTCTTTGTATTGTATCAGTATCAAGCTTTGGAAGAGAACCAAGAACCTCCACAGTTACTGCAGTGCAAAAGCAGATAACTTGTCTTGAATGCTTGAATTTTTTAGTTGATGATGCCTGAAAAAAACAGCAAAAAATACATATCTCAACATCCAACTAAAGGAATACAAAGTTTAGATAAAGGATGCCTACATAGTTGCATAAGGCCTCCAAAACTCCTTTATCTCGAATGCACTGCTGCACGATAACCTTTCTTGGAGGTGGCGCACCAGATGACTTCACACCCTCCAAAAAAGCCCACTTTTTGTTTCTACATTATTACAAAACACAAATTTAGAGAAGAGATGAGAAAAATTGCAATCACATTAACGGTTCCTCACCCAAAATCCATCAACTGAATAATACGGACGAAAAAATGAGTATCATGATAAGGTAGTGCACATAGAACAAGCTCCTCGGCATTGAAGACATGAACCCTATACATAAAAATTCAGTATGCAAAAGTAATAAAATTCTAAAGAATTGCAAAGACAATGCTTATAAAAGAATAACGTACTGGTATCTACGAATGAGATACTCCAACGTCCCAAGGGCAGAGGGAAGATGCAATTGACCTGCCAACAGCTGCAGGTATGAGCATATTGACTTGTTCAGCTTCTCCTCTTCTTTTGCAGTCATCTTATCCCTGTCTATTTCAAGAGTTGCATGGCTAAAAAGAGTAGACATGTAGCTTGTGAAACGGTCGTCCACCTTGATAAGAGCTTCCAAACCTGAAATACAGCTTAAGAACATTGAAAATTATATATATATATATATATATATATTAATGAATAATGCCAAAGACCACCACCTCAAATGCCTTTGATTCAATAAAGCCAAAGATCACTGCATCAATCTAACCGACTAGAAAAAAATTCAACCATAACAAATTGAACTTCAGATACTAAAATTCAACAGTCCAGCTTAAAATAAACAAACTAGATGGAAGTGTTCCGATTGACAGTGTTGAGAAGTGTTCCGGGTTATACTACATCAAGACACCCAAATCCTTAATTGTTGCTAAGAATCATCCTATTATGAGTCAGTTTGTTGAGAGTCGTTCTAGAGTCAATCAAGATGGAGAGATTATCATGTGACATTATTGGTTAGGTCCAAATTTCATGCATTTTGAAAAGCTTTTTCTCCATTTATTTATTAATAAAAATTCAAGTTTATTCAAATATGAAACTTGCATATTGGCTAAACATATAGGATCATCTTAACCAATTATTCCTTACCAACCTTCTAAACCCTTCGCCTTTATCCATAGTGATATTTGGGGACTCTCAAAGGTTAAAAGTATAAGTGGTGCAAGGTGGTTTGTGAAATTTGTTGATGATCATACTAGACTCAATTGGATTTATTGAAGAAAAAATTTGAAGCTGAAAGGATATTCAAATCATTTCAACAGATGATTCAAAACTAGTTTGATGCAAAAATTCAAATCTTAAAGTCAAACAATGGGAGAGAGTACTTCCATTATATCATGAGAGAATACCTATCAAGCCAATGGATAATCCAAGTGAGTTCATGTGCGTATACCCCTCAACAAAATGGGGTAACTGAGAGGAAAAATTGGCTACTCCTAGAAGTTGTCAGCAATATTATGCATTCAGGAAACTAAATAGGTTGGAGCGAATACTAAGGAAACTGATAGTTCAAGATTTAAACTTTTGTATTTTGGTAGAAATCGTACTAAAAATGATGTAAGTGTTATTATAGATAAGATTTTAAAGGATAATGTTATAAAAATTGATAGAATTAGAGACAAAATAATAGCTTTGAAGATTATTGTTGATGCTAAGATTATTAATATTATAAGTGTTTATGTTCATCAAGTAGGTTTGGATATGTGTTTAACATTAAAATTTTGAAATGACTTAAAAGAATTAATTCAAAAGATATCTTTTGAAGAAAATATTTTTTATTGGAAAAGATTTAAATGGACATGTTGACAGAGAGGTAGAAATTTTAAAAACATTCATGGCGGTTATGGGTTTGGAGCAACTAATAAATGTGGTAATATTATATTAGATTTTGCTCTAGCTTATGATTTTGAAATTAATAATACCTTGTTTAAGAAAAGAGAAGAGCATCTCATCACTTATAATAATAGATATAGTAAAATTCATATTGATTATTTCCTTATAGGAAAAATAGATTATTTAGATTGCAAAGATTGTACCTGACATCGCTTATTAGTTTTGAACTTTAAAATGAAAGGGCACAATATGAAAAACATAGTAAAACAATGTTCTAATATTTGATGGTGCATTTAAAAAGAACACGAATAAAAATATTTTTGAGAATAAGATTTGAGATATTAAGATTTTGTTTATGCATGAGAAAGTGAATGCTATGTTGGAAAAGTAACTCGTAATATTAAGAATGTTGCAAAAATGTGCTTGGAGCTTTAAAAGGAAAAGCTCATAATAATAAAAATAGTTGGTGGTGGAATCAGAATATTTAAGAAAAGATAAAAAAATAAGAATCTTTGTTATGACAATTAGTTTAGATAAAAAAAAATTGAAAAATGGGAAGGATATAAAGAGGCTCATAAGGTGTCTAAGAAATTAATCTGCAATACAAAGATTTTAGCTTTTAATAATTTATATAATATATTAGATTCTAAAAAGGACAAAAGATATATGTATAAGATAGTCAAACAAAGATATAGGAGTAGTAAGGACTTAATTCAAATGAAGTGTATTAAGGATAAAGATAAAAAGTTTTCTTTTTTTTAGAATAAGATATTGCTAATCAAAAAGTTTTTTTTTTAGAATAAGATATTCAGCAAAGGTGTTTGAGCTATTTTGATAAGCTTTTCAATGAAGATTGGGAGAATACGATTGACTTTTTTGACCTTAGCACTCTAAATGAAAATAAAGATTTTTATTTTTATTGGTGTATTAGTAAAACTAAAGATAGAGAGGCTTTAAAGAAAATGAAGTGTGAAAAAACTATTGGACCTGATGATATTCCAATAGAAGTGTGGAAATGCTTAGGATATAAAGGAATTTTTTGGCTTACTAAACTTTTTTATTTTATTTCGAATACTAAAAGATGTCAAATGAGTGAAGAATGAGTATGTTGATTCTTATTTTTAAGAATAAAGGTGATGCACAAGATTGTACGAATTATAGAGAAATAGGTTGATGTGTCATACCTTAAAACTGTGGGAGAGAATTATGGAGCATAGGTTACGACGTGATATTAATGTTTCTCAAAATCAATTTCGATTCATGACGACTAGGTCTACTATGGAAGTTATTCATTTAATAAGAGGGTTGATGGAGAAGTTTAGAGAGAATAAGCAGGATCTACATATAATATTTATTAATTTAGAGAAAACATATGATAAAGTTCCAAGAGAAGTGCTATGGAGAGTTCTAGAAAAGAAAGGGGTTAATAATGCTTATATTCGAGCCATTAGGGATATGCATGCAGGAGTTGTTACTTGTATTCAAACAGAAGGCGGTTTGACCAAGTATTTTCTTATTTCAGTTAGATTACATCAAGGATCAGCCTTCAGTCCTTATCTTTTTGCTTTAGTCATGGATGTTCTTAATAGACATTTGCAAGAGGATGTACCCTGACATATGCTTTTTGCGAATAATATTCTTATTGTAGATAAGACTAGACATGGAGTTGAAGGTCAAACTCGAATTATGGAGGCCAGCCTTAGAGCCTAAAGATTTTCGTTTGAGCCGATCTAAAATCAAATACATCGAGTATAATTTTAGTAATAATATATCTAATGGGGGTTTATGGCTTGAGCGATCAAGTCATTAATAAGTTTACTCGTTTTAGATATCTTGGGTCTACTGTTAATAACGACGGTAAAATAGATGGGGATATTATTAGTAAAATACAATTTGGATGGTTGAAGTGAAGGAATCCTTCAAGTTTCTTGTGTGATAGAAAAGTATCACTCAAACTTAAGGAAATTTTTATAAGCTGGTGGTGAGACCTGCAATGCTTTATGGCACAAAATATCGACCATTAAAAGAGAAGCATAATATTAAGTTAAATGTTGCTGAGATGAGGATGCTCAGGTGGTTGAGCAGATTTACTCTTAGAGATAGGATATGGAACATGCATATTCGTTAAAAGGTTGGGGTAGCTCCAATGACATATAAGATTAGATAGAGTCGCCTTAGATTGTTTGGTCATGTAAAACAGTGGTCTTCTGATGACCCTGTTAGGAGAGTAGATGTATTAGATTTGGCCTATATTAAGAAAGGTAGAGATAGATCTAAAAAGACTTGTTTAGAAAATATTAGAATTAACCTTTCTTTATTAGATTTAAATGAAAATTTGACCCTTACCAAGACACAATGAAGAAAAATGATTCATGTAGCCGACCCCACATAGTGGAATAAAGGATTTGATGTTGTTGTTGTACAAAAGTACCAAAATATCTATGGGGGGAAGCCATTCTTACTGTTGTATACCTAATAAATAGGTTACCTACTCGGGTACTAAAATTTAAAACACTTAGACAAACTTTACGGAAAGCCTATCCTCATGCTTGATTCATATCATCAAATCCTTCACCTAAAGTTTTTGAGTGCTCTGTCTCTGTTCGTATCTATTTACAATATAAGAGCAAGCTTAATCCAAGATCAAAAAAAGTGTTTTCATTAGATATTCCCCGACAAAAAGAGATTACAAATATTTTTATCCTACTTCTAGGAAGGTATTTGAAACCATTAATGCCACCTTTTTTTTAAACACAAATACTTCACAAGTTCTGAAATTCAAGACGAGAGTGGAAGAAATTTTCTAACTTAGGAGTGGAATTCCTTCTGATACAATCAAACATAGTCCAGTCAAAATAACAAAAATATCACAAGAAATCTAAACCACGAGAATTTCCCAAGGTATATCTCCTATGTCTCAACCTCCACCTTTAGACCTATTAATTCCACCCATAAGTCCTAATAAATTGCTGCAAATAGCAGCAATTAAGGAACAACAATATGTATACTCAAGGAAAACAAAAAAGAATCAGCATAAGCATAGCAGTGAGACACATCTTACACTTGTCAAATCTCCTTCAATAGATCCAGCAACTATAAAGATTCATAAATGAGAAGTTCAAAAGGAGATAAAGTCATCAAATGGCTAGAAAGAATCATGCACCAAGCATCCAATCAAAAACTTTCTCTCCTATAACAGATTATCAAACACTTATCAAGCCTTCCTTTCCAAGTTCAATAGTGTGCAGATTCTGACTAATATTCAAGAAGCTTTGAATCACCCGGGATGGAGACAGTTTGTTAAAGAAAAATTTTAGCCTTGGAGAAAAATCAAACATGGATAATTACGAATATCCCAATAGGAAAAAAATTTGTGAACTGCAAATGGTTGTTCACCGTAAAGCATAAGGAGAATGGTATTGTTGAGAGGTTGAAAGCTAGACTGGTTGCAAGAAGATTCACTCAATCTTATGGAATAGATTATCACGAAACTTTTGCTCCTATTGCAAAGCTCAAAACCATCAGGATTCTTCTTTCCTTAGCAGCAAATTTAGATTTGCCCCTACATCAACTAGACATCAAGAATAAATTTTTGAATGGGAAACTGAAAGAAGAAGTCTACATGGAGATTCCAATGGGGATTCAAATGTCTTATGGAAGGGACAGTGTGTAAACTGCTGAAATTGTTGTATGGATTAAAGCATTCTCCCAAAGCATTATTTGGAAGATTCCTGAAGTATGTAAAAGGCCATAATTTTAAACAATGTCAGGCATATCATGTCTTATTTGTAAAGCTGTCGGAAAGAAACAAGGTAGCAGTATTGATTGTATATGTAGATGAATCATCCTTACTGGAAAATGGAAATGATATATGGAAAATAATGGAAATGATATCTAGGATCACTTAATACTTTTTTAGTATGGAGGTAGCTTGATCAAGCAAAGGTATATTTGTTTCCCAATGCAAGTATACCTTAGACCTACCGAAGGAGACCGGCCTATCGGGATGCAGACAAGCCAGTACACCAATGGATTCTAAGCATAAACTTGGGATAGAAAAGTACGAGATTCCAGTTGATAAAGGAAGATATCAACGTCTGGTAGGAAAGCTTATATAACTCTCTACCAGTCAAGATATTGGGTTTACAATGCATAGTGAGCCAATATATGAGTAACACTATGAAGGAGCACATGGAGGCAGTATATCAAATCTTGAGATATCTCAAGAACACACATGGAAATGAGCTATTATTCAAGAAAAATGAATATAATAAATTGATCATTTATTATGATGCAGATTAGGCAAAAGTAAGGTTGATAGTCGATCGACCACATGATATTGTTCATTTGTGTGGGGGAATCTGGTGACATGGAAGAATAAACAACAACAATGCGAACTCTGAATTGAGAGCAATAGCAATTACTAATAATAAAACTTTAAGCAGTACGATTTTATGTAAAAGATAAATTAAAAATTCACAACTTACTTGTTACCAACAAGGCCAAAAACTTATCCATTTTTTATGTAGACAAACATTAGTAGTCCTTCCGTATATTTGATAAAGAAAATATAGTAACATTTTGAGTTTTGGCAAGAATTTGAAAACAATTAAAATCACAAGAAAAATATTTTTTTATATTAAAAAATCAAGTTTTTTAAGGACCAATATTTACCAAAATCAAGAGGAAAAAGCTAGCAAAAATTTTATATATATATATATATAAGAAATAAACAAGAAAATAAATTACCAAAGTAGAAAAACCAAGCATCATGTTGGAACAAGGAAATGACATTCCCCATAAAGAGGTAGTCACACTATTTATAAACACATCCACGAATAGAAAATGAGGTTAATACAAAATCAATATCAATTTAATATTTTAATCTAAATTAAGTCTCTTTTTTTTTTTTTTTTTACTTTTTTTTTTTTTTTTTGAAAACCCCAAAAACATCCAAACAAAACTCAAAATTCAATTTAAATTTTCCAGGTGCCGAATTAATACAAACAACCCGTGACACGAATTAATACAAACAACCCATCACAAAGCTTTGTACATAGGCATAGGATCCACCACAAACTATAACAACAATTCCTCATTTAATTTGAATAGGATAAGAGCAAACTTCAACTAATGAAGTGTACAAGAGTTGTTGCACCAGCATTCGGGTGCAATGTTAAATAGGCAAGGGTACCCACAACATGGACGGATGTGGGCAAAGAAGCTATTCAATGAAACTAGAATTAGGATAAAATTTTGGAATATAGGTTCCTTTACATGCAAATTAATGAAATTAATATATATTATGATTCATAGGAGATAAATATTCTATGCATTTAAGAAACTAAAAATAATGATTTGTGGATTTTATGGTTATTTTTTAAATATATTGATTACAAATACAATTCAAAATAAAAACATATCGTGTACCATATTCAAATTTGAGTTATTTAGACTGCACAAGAAAAAAAAATTCATGTACTTGCACAAGTGAAATGCACAACCAAAAATATTATTAAACTTCTCTCGCTTAGTGGCAACACATCTAGAGTTTTTTATTATTATTATGGGTTTGGCATTATAGCATTTTATTCTATTTTTAGAAAAATAAAATTACATGCATGGAAGTTAGTTTTTAAATATGTGCAAATTCAAATTAATATTACTACATATGGCAGCATTATAGTGCAACAAGTTAGACCTCTTGGTTCCTCGTACAACATAAACATGAGTGGTGGGAGGGACTAAAGAAGACGAGGAGATGAATGATGATTACCGGATTGTGCTAATGGAAGAATCGATCTTAGATCGATATCAGCAGCCTCCTTGGGGTCGAACAGGACGGAGGGGCGAGTGATGGGCCTACGGATTGGATCATCTTTCCCCTTAATAACGGACTTGATCGCCTGAAGCTGAGACGCGATTGACATGGACGCCTGAGACAAATGCAAAAAGGAAGGAGGTGAGAGGCTGTTTGGTAGTACGATTTGAGCAACATTTGCGCAAGAATTTACTTAAATCCTGCCAAATGGTAAAATTCTCAAACATAGAACCTACAGAATTATAAATTCTGCTTTGCGCCTATTTTACCTTAAGGGGCTGTTTGGTATCGGATTTATCATGGGATTTAAGTCGGATTTACGCTAAATCCAGCCAAAAAGTTTTTGTGCTCGCGTTAAATCCCGGGATTGGATAAATCCTGGCTTACGGATTTACGGATTAACCGGATTAACTAAATCCCTCGGTTCGGCGGATTTATGGGATTTGGCCGAAGAAGCGCGCGAAAGGTAGAAAGTTACCTTCACAGCCAGCAAGCTCCCGTTGTTACTTCCGATCAAAATGTCGTAACTTCCGCTCCGACAGGAAGGGAAAGTCGTCGAAGCAGCGAAGTCGAACAGCCACGAAGGAGCCGAAGAAGCGACGCGTGCAACCTCTACACCTCCTGCGAAGCAACGAAGCCGAACAGCTAGGACGAAAAGAGAAGATGAAAGCAAACCCTAGACAGCTCTACGTTATTATTGATTAACTTAATTAATATATAATTTAAAATATTAATAATTAAGTAAAATAATTAAATAATTAATAGTCTAATTAATACCTAAATTAATTATCTAATTTAGCTTAATTAAAAAGTAGTAGTATAGTTAGTAATTAAATATTAATATAACTAATTTAATTGATATAACTTAAATATATAATTAATAATTAACTTGTATTTAACAAGTACATTATTTTAGATTGCAAGTCAAAATTATCCATCATCGTGAACAAAATTATCTCCCCAGAAGTATATATGAAGTCAACTAGGATTTTGAAGCATTCTCTTATTTAATATTTCATCTGTCATTTTAGTCAATATTAGTTTGTTATTTGCTCTTTATTGAATTTTTGGTAATATTGTATGAACTTAAGTTGGTTTTATTATATTTATGTAATGATCTTGATTTCATAAATATCTTCTTTAAATTTAAATCCTGACTATCATAAATCCTGATATATGTTACCAAACAATTTATTAAGATTTAACAGAATTTATCATTTGGCATACCAAACAGTTCTCAGGATTTAACACAATTCGAATTTGATTTACTAAATCCGACTAGGCATAAGATTTCAATCTAAATTTCACATAAATATCATAGGTATTAGATTTCAATTTTAATTTTGTTTATTAATAATAAAAGCTCTCAACCAATACTTTAAATTGAGCATCAATTATTTATTTTCAATGTCTATATAACTTTTTCATTTTAAAATTCATTCTAATAAAAAAAATAGAATACCTTATTCTATTTTAAAATTCATTAACAATGCATTTATCAATTAGTTCTTAAATATGTACAAATTCAAATTTAGTCACAACAACTAAAATATCTAAAACTTTTTTTCTTTTTTTTTTTTGTAATCTTGAAAGTTTGTTTTAAATTAATTGAAAACTCTTCCTTAATTATTGAAAGTCACATGTGAAGTTAAACGATTAATAAAAATAGTTGAAAATTATGATTAACTAATAACATATGGATATATATATATAGATGAATGACAAATTATTAGAAAAAAACACTACAATAAAGCTGAATGTTCTATAATGTTGAACTCTCATTGATATGCATATATGATAACTTACATAATTTCATTCATGATATGATTATATAGTGTCACATTTCATGATTTATATTGAAAGAATTACATATTTTTTATTTTAACCATTTAATCATTTAACTAGAGCTTATCAATGAACATTCGAAATAAATATGATAGCATTTTTTCTTATTCGAAGCCTCATATCATAAGATCTTTATCATTTCCCAAATATATGAAAAATCATGTAATAAGCACATAGCCAACAAATAACTAAAATCTTACAACTAAAATTAATACAAGATAAAAGTAAATAATATGTTATAAATCTTATAAAAAAAATATATGTATCAATGTTTATACTGATTATCTGTATAAATTTATCCTTATATAATTCATCAGTCACAATATAACTAATAGTCAACAGCACTAATGTTAGTAATAATATTATTATCATGATAAATAATGTTAAACAATATTCATAATAATAAATAATATTAGTATAATCCTCGTAGTAGTGTCAATATCATCATTCATAGATTTAATGAGTGTATCTTAAGGATATATTGCTCATATACTTATGACTCACAATCAGTCATCCCTTATAACTCTTTTTTAATGTTCTCCTTATAATTTCCCTTGAATTACGTGAATTAGTCACTCAAATTCTTATAACTCTCAATCATTCTCAAGCTTCTTATGACATCGAAACAGTAAATCAAATTGATCAGTAGTGTATCACGTTGAGTTATCATATAATGTATTTGGCGTCATTTAGTATTTTTATTTAAAATATAATAAAATCATATCAAATCATTCAGAATGACCAAATCTATAACATATTCTAACTGACACATTAAAAGCTTATGAAATTAGGATATAAAATATTTTTTTACAGATTTATCAGAGATAAATTTTATAGAAATAAAAATCATTTTCTTTTTCACACACCACCATTTTTGTCGATGTCCCGCCTCCAGCATGCCCCCTCATGAATTCCTCTTCTCCTTCTCACGTCGTCGACTGCTTTCGATTATTATCCCAGGATCGTAGAGGTGCTCAAAAGATCCGTACTTCAAACCCTTATTAAACCCTTAAAGCGAAATTGCCTCGTACGAAACAAAAAGTAGAGGCCAAATAAGTTATTTTTTTAAGACATTTACCTCAATTAAGATAATTTCACATAAATATCATATGTATAAGATGAATGACAAATTAATAAATAAAAACACTACATTAAAACGAGATGTACTATCATGTTGAACTCTCATTGATATGCATACTTGATAACATATATAATTTCATGCATGTTATGATTGATATAGTGTCACATTCTAAGATCTATATTAAAAGAATTGCATGTCTTTCATTTTAGCAATTTAATCATTATACTAGAGCTTATTAATGAACATTATAAATAAATATGATAACATTTTTTTTTTGTCTGAAAATCTCATATCATAAGATCTTTATTATTTCCTAAATATATATAAAATCATGTAATGAGCATATTGCTCAATAAGAAACTAAAATCAATACAAAATAAAAATGAATATTGTGTTATAAATTCTATAAAAAAAAATTTACATCAATGTCTATATTGATTATCTGTATAAATTTATCCTTCTATAATTAATCAATCACTACATGTGTTATAATCAACGACACTAATGTTAGTAATAATTTTAGTATCATGATCAATAATATTAAATAGTGTTCATGACAATAAATAATATTAGTATAATGCTCATAATAGTGTCAATATCAGTATTTAGATATTTAATGAGTGTATCTTAAGGATATCTTGCTCCTATACTTATGACTCACAATCAGTCGTCTCGTATAACTCTTTTTCAATGTACTCTTATAATGTTCCTTGAATTACGTGAATTAGTCACCAAAATTCATATAACTCTCAATCAATCTTTAGCTTCATGTGACACACAATCAATAAATCACATTGATCAGTTGGGTTTCACGTGGAGTTATTATATAATGTATATGGTATCATTTACTATTTTATTTAAAATATAATAAAATCATATTAAATAATTTATAATGACCAAATCTATGATATATTCTAACTAGCACATTGAAATCTTATGAAAACAAGCTAGAGGTAATATAATTTTTTACAAATTTATGAGAGATTAATTTCATAGAAATTAAAATATTTTTCTTTTTCACACACCATCAGTTTCGTCGATGCTCCGCCTCCATTATGCCCCCTCACGAAATCCTCTTCTCCTTCTCACGCCGCTGGCAGCTTTCGATGATTGCCCCAGGATCATAGATGTGCTCAAAAGATTCATACTCTAAATAATTCTTAAACCCTAAAAGCGAAATCCCCTCATACGATGCAAAAAAGTGGAGGCCAAATAAGTTATTTTTTAAAAGAAATTTACCATACTAAAAATAATTTCACATAAATATAATAGGTATAAGATTCCAATTTACAATTTTTTTATTAATAATTAAAGCTCTCAACCTTGTGACGCCCCAAGTATCCATAGTGAAAGGATTCGTCTGACAGTCTCGATCAATCTCGATTCCTGCTCGCTTGCTCGGACCTGAAATTGTTAGCCACATATAATGAGCTTAAATAGCCCAACAGATCACCAAAGCCTACAACTGAAATCAAAGCACGGTACGGAAGCAATATGCATGTCAATCAGTCAAATCTATAACAGACAGTTGCACATGATCAGTGAATCAATGCATATACGGAAATCAGTACATAAACAGTATCGATACAGATAACGAAAATCAATGTATGAACAGTAATCAGTACAGTAACAATAAGAAACAGTAAACTCCTAAATCCATAGTAAAAGAATCGATAAGCAGTTCAAAGGTCCGTAAAGCTCAATAAATCCGAAATCAGTTCGTGCATCAAATCTTGTTAATAGTCGTCTTAACTATCACATCAGT